AACCGCAACCTCCTGGTTCATAGGTCGACACTCAACCACTAGCCACGCCTGCTGGAAGCTTTATTAAATAAAGAACTAACAACTATATTCTACTTATATATGCATATAACTAAAATTTAAAAATCTCCAGGAGCCTATAACTTTATCTGGATTTATAGAAGTACTGGCAAGTCAAATCAAGGGAAACAAAAATTGATTATGGGACTAAATGAACTAAAAATAATTATAGTTTTTGTGACTTTTGTCGAAAGTATTGCTGATTTTTAATCTTTGTTTTTTAGATATAAGGAAGCATTTTCAAAGCAGTTTGGTAAATTATGTTTCTTTCCCTATCTTATTCCTCAGAATTTGGCAATTTTTAAAATATATATTTTTTTATTGATTTCAGAGAGGGAGAGAGATTGAAACATGAATGATGAGAGAGAATCATTGATTGGCTGCCTCCTGCACGCCCCCTACTGGGGATTGAGCCTGCAGCCCGGGCATGTGCCTTTGACCAGAATTGAACCTGGGACCTTTCAGTCCGCAGGCTGACGCCAAACCGGATAGGGCGAATTTGGCAATTCTTAATGAATGAGTCTTGGCAATACGTTTCTTTGCATGAATTCAGTAAGACCAGTTTCCAATTGTGGTTTTATTAACCAACACTTTGGCATGTTGTGTCTAACATGCCTGGACTCTGGATGTCACCAGAAAGCTTTAAAGAATGAAGCCAAATAAGAGCCCCTTGGATAAAAGTGTGGTACCTTGCTTGATCACGTGTTTCATGGCAGCCTTTCCAGGTAAGGATTGAAGCAAGGTTGCTTTCCTGAGAGATGGCAAGGAAGGAACCTTAAGACATTTTGGGAACCTCAAGAATGTGAGGAATTCACCCAAGTCTACAGGTATTGCAGGAAAACCTGAGGGCAGCTAGGTGGCTCAGCTCTTTGCCCTGAGGGGCTAAAGTTCAATCATGAAATTCCAGCAAAGCAAATTTTTTTTTTAAAAAGGCCTATATGATCAATTGCTATTCTTATTGTGTTCACACAAATGATCAGGCCAAATTGAAACCATAACAATACAGTAAATAAATTGGTCTTAATTTGGCTCCTTAATAAAAACAAGGGTGATTTTTATTTGGGGGGGGGGGCGAGAAATTGTGTTTCAGTAGACTTTATAACACATAGTTGTGAATATTAGACTCAAAGCTTTATTTTTCACCTATGAATTGAACTGGATCCTGAATTTATCTCTAGCTTTTACCCCAATATACAAAATTTCATAACACAGTTTGCCTCCACAGGTTACAAGTCCTACTCGTATCAGGGAATACCACCTCTAGACACCATTGCTCCCTCCTTCCATGCCCAAACCTCATCACACTTCTGACAGAGAGCAAGGATCTCTTGCCTCTGAAGGAAAACTTCCTCTCTCCTCAGCATGAAGCAGTTACACATCAGACCCTTGCCCCTTTTCTCTGAAAGAATTCAGAGCCAACATCCTTGAGTAGGGGAATGTGGTAGGCAGTTAGATATAAGCAGAGCAAGGATGATGGGCCAACTGGAGGAGAAATGGACAGGATCCTGAGATGTGTGTCTCACCACTCTAAGTGCTCTAAAGCTGACAATGGAGGAACCTCTGTAGAATGGACCTTTACATTTTTGCCAAGTAGGCGTTGGAACACCTATTGATAATATATGGAATCATTCCATTCATTTTGGGAAGTCACATATGGGGACCTTTATATGTTGGGACCCACTGTCTGGAAAAAGGATGCAGGGATGTTTTCTCTAAAGGTTACTGCAGTAGTTCCCTGTGGCAAATGTCAGACTTTTACGGAGTGTTCTAGCTATTGTCTTTCAGTATGTAATAACTATAATATGAATTGTTCTGATAATTTCACCTTCCATTATAGTAATGGACATACTAAGCTGCTGGCTGAGTGGTTTCTGATATGTGGGGTAACTGTTTATTCATATATCCCTGCCAACAGCCCCAGGGGGCCCTGTTCCTTTGGGTGACTGTCTTTTTATGCCTCAGAAACATCACAGGGTCCGAACCAAAAGAGACCTTCTCAGGGCCGTGGCACTGGACTACAATGATGATCTCCACCTGTGGAGCCCTGTTGACTATATTGCTTTAACCATTTTTGTTATGCTGGTAATGGTAGGCTTCCTTAATGTAGAAGTGACCTGGCTGGCTTGTGGCATGGTAAAAGCCATGAATGCCACTTCCAGGGCTATACAGGGGATAAATCAAGAGCTGAGCCAGGTCAGGAAGGCAGTTCTAGAGAATCGGGCAGCAATAGATTATTGGTTGTTGTGGCATAACCACGGTTGTGAGGCATTTAAAGGAATGTGCTGTTTTAATCTTTCTGACAATTCTCAATTGATAGAAAACAACATTCAACAAATTAGGGAAACCATCTCCAAGATAAAACAATCAGAAGGGGTGTGGGGTTTTTTGTGTTTTTTTTTTTTGGATTTGACTTATCCACATTAACTTCCTGGCTACCCAACCTGTCTGGGATGCAGGAATTCTTTTTAAATTTTCTCCTGTTTATTTTTTGTAGCCTAATTGCTTGCTGCTGTATTCAATGTCTTCCTCTTTTTTAGATCCTGCATTCACTGTGTTCCATGTGTGAACTGCTTTCAAGGCAGAAGCAAATGCAGTCCAGCAGGATGAGATTTTTCATCTAAAACTAATCTCATAGATATGAGATGATAGAAATAGCAGTGGGGAAATGTTAGGGCAAAAATAGAACATCGGGGACTAGCTATAATATAAGAAATATTAATCATGCTCTGTTAACCGTGATTGCCTTGTTCTTATTAAAGAAAGGACATTCTAACCTGGCTGGGAGTTGTACACCACTGGGACCTAGGAGTCAACCTTGGACCTGGCAGTCAACCTTGGAATGAGGTCCATTCTCATTCAAGAACTGCCTAATATCATGGAAAGATTGACAACTTTGTCGCCCAAACAATAGTGTCCCACTCCAGCCTTCATTGCATACTTCTCCAGGCCTATAATTCCTACTTCCTCATGTAATGTTTGCCCTACCCAATATAAGCAGCTGGCTTATGGGGGTGGGGGTGGAGAGATTTTTGTGGATGACTTGCTGCTGTCCCATACTGCCAGCAGTATTGAAATAAATGCTCATATAATTCAACCCTGTCTCTGCTTAATTGGCTCAAGTAGTGACAGGCAGCCCCGACTCATTGATTGTCCAGTTTCAAGCCTACCATCTATATACTAATACTAGAAGCCCGTTGCATGCGTGCAATAGGCCTTCTTTCCCCTGGCTGCTGGCACCGGTTTTCCTCCAGCACCCGGGGACCCAGGCCTTTGGTCCAGCCGCAGTGGAGAAGCCAAGCCTCTTCAGTCTTTAGTCTTCACTCCGGCCGGAGCCTTCAATCTTTGCTCCGTGCCTGCATATGCAAATTAACCACCATCTTTGTTGGGCTAATTTGCATACTCATCCCGATTGGTTGATGGGCATAGTGGAGTGACACCAATTTGCATGTTTCTCTTTTATTAGTGTAGATATAAAAGCCTAAGCAGCTGGCTGTAGCTATGATGCACACTGACCACCAGGGGGAAGATGCTCAACGCAGGAGCAGAAACCACAGGCATGGAAACATGGAACAGACTGATGAATTTCAGAGGGAAGGGGTGAGGGTTGAGGGTGGGAAGAGATTAACCAAAGATCTTATATGCATACTAGAGGCCCGGTGCATGGATTTGTGCACGGGTGGGGTCCCTTGGCCTGGCCTGTAGGGATCGGGCTGAAACTGGCTCTCTGACATCCCCCGGGATCCCAGATTATGAGAGGGTGCAGGCCAGGCCAGGGTACCCTGTCGGTGCACAAATCTGTGCACTGGGCCTCTAGTAGTTTATAAATAGAAAAAATCTAACATATTCAATTTACAAGCATAGTTTGAAAGTGTTAAGGGATTTTGTTTTCTTTAATTTTTATTGATGGATTGCTTTTAGAGAGAAAGCAAAGGAGAGAGTGAGAAATAAACATCACTTTTTTGTTCCATTTATTTATGCTTTTGTTGAGGGAAAGCCCCAAAAGTCTAAATTCAGGATGGATTCCGAGGAACTGACATATAACCTTATTCAAATTCATTAGAGCTTAATAGGAGAAACACATAAACAGGCAAAGCAGCTGCTTGCTTCCAGCAGTGGCCATCAGGAATATATCCACACCATCCCAGGACAGGGTCTCTGTTTTATAGAGGGTTCATATTAAAAGCATGTGGCGGGCCACCAGAAAGTACAATGCAAGTCTAAATAACATCAGGCAGTTATCCACACCCTATACATTCATTAACCTTCTTGGGGCGTGATGTTTACCTTCGGGCGGTATTCTGGCTTTCTGGGTAGTCGGTCAAACCTGCGGCTACAGAGAGTTAGAGTCACAGAAAGTTAAACATTTCCCCCACGCCTTTACTGCTGGAGACATATTACATCTCTAGCTCCCCTCCAGCATTCATTGGTTGATTCTTGTATGTGCAATGGAACCCACAACCTTGGTGTAATGGGACAATGCTCTAACCAACTGAGCTACCTGGCCAGGGCTGAAAGTGTTAAGGGAATTTGATTGTTATAATAGCCCTCTTTAAAAGAGAATTGTTAGACTAGGCCAGGATTATTACTGGTTGATAAAACTATGTTTAACCCTGGCTGCACATCAGAATTAGATAGAAGTAGAATAGAACAGAATATGGATATATATCTTGTTTCTTAATCATTTTACAGTAAGTTACAGATATGATACCCTTTTACCCCCCAATACTAAAAACATTGTTACATAAACATTATGCAATCATCAAAATAGGGACATTAATACTGGTATAATGTTATTATCTAATCCACAAATCTTATTTTAAATTCATCCAGCCCTGGCCGGTGTGGCTCAGTTGGTTGGGTGTCATCCCAACCTCACTCGCTCTGCAGTAGCAATCAGGGTAGGAGATCCGAGAAGACTTGAAGAAAATGCACTTGCCCCAGGCGCAATTCCTCCTCAGAAACAAACCAAAACATATATTACTTGGAACCGCTTTCCTCCCCACTTGGACCAATGGAAATTCCGAGATGAGTAATAGATGGATGCCTCAACCATTCGGCGCGGGGGTGGGGTTGGAGAGTCTCCTCCGCGGACCTATTGGGCGAATCCGAATCTGGCCGCAGGCTTTTTCCGGCTCCACCCCACTTTGCAGAGGCGGAGACTGACCTGTCTTGTGATGTAGCTGGGGCGTGGCCTGGGATGCACCAAGAGGGGAGGCCGCTGTGTGTCCTTGCCGGAGAGGGAGGTGACTCCAGCCGCAGAGGAGGACGCAGAATGAGGGCCATGCGGGTGAGGGCCCCCACGGGCCGGGCCCCCCATCCCGGAAGCCTTCACCCCAATACGAGACTCTCTAAACGTCCGGGGATCTGGGGCACTGGAACGTGAGCCCATTCAGGGTTCGAGTCTCCCGCCTAACAGCCTGGGACCCCCACCCTCACCTCCCAATCCAAGAGCTTCTCAGATAGCCAGGGACACTAACATGGCCCAGAGTCCTGGGCTTGACCTTCCCTTCGTCCAGGGCTCCTAACACCTCGGGACCCAGGCACTGGGAATTTAACACCTTTCCCTTCCCGGGACCTCTCAGGCTGTCTGGAAACTCCATCGGGTGTATTTCCGGGACCTGGGCTTCTACCATTAATTCAGGGGACTGCGCCTCCCTTTTGGGTCCGCTCCTCTTCCAGGACCGTCCAGCGGTCGCCAACCTTTCGAACCTCACGGACCACCAGTGAGGTTACCGTAACCTCCAAGTCAGACCCTCCAGGCGCTAGTCCCCTTCGGGGTCTTTCTTGACAGTCCACCCTCCCCCACTCGTGCTGGCAACTCTGATCTTGCCTTTGGGAAGCTTTCAAGTCCCAGGGCCGCCCCCGTAACCCCCGCTGGACCCACGTCGAGACGCCTCTCCAGGTGCCTCTAATTCCCACCCACCACCTTCCCCCAGGCTTCCCAGGCGTTGATTCGCTCCTTCAGTTCAACAGCTCGGAACCGCTTGGAGAACCGAGTGGCGGAGAAACAGAAACTCTTCCAGGTAGGCGGGGCGGGGGCCGTAAGCTCGATCCAGAGGGAGGCGGGGGAGACCGTCTTCGCGACAACAGCACCCTTTTCTTATTGGACGCCCCCAACATCAGGCGGACAATGACCTTCCGGTGCACTTGAAGGGCGGGGGAACCGACAACATTCTCTACCGATTGACCATGGGACTGTGTCTGGGAGGTGAGTGCAGGGCCTGTTCGGACTGAACTGCAGGAGGCAGGCCCAAGCTGGAGTGAGGAAGGGGGCTGGTTCTCGGGCTGGAATTTAGGGAGGGGATTGGGTTCTGGGCTGGCCAGGTTTGGGGACTGTACTGGCGTCCAGGCCAGCATATAGGGGGGGGGGGGGGGGGCCGCGGGGGAGCTCCCTAGGACTTGGGCTTCTGTCCCAGGAGGGGCCCTGGGGCCCTGGCTCAGGGCCTGGTCTGGATCAAAGACCAGGGATTCCCCACCTGAAGTGCAGTTTGAGGAGGGAGTTTGAACCATGAACTGGGGCTGGGATCCAGACTGGTGGTTGGTGAGTCTGCAGGTGGGTTTAAAAACCCAATATGGGGTTCAAGAAAGCGATTAGGGTCTCATTCTGTATCCCCTACACTCCCTCCCCAGGCACGGTCTACAGTCTGTATTGCCTTGGCTGGGCTTCCTTCCCCCACCAGAAGTGAGACCAAGAAGCTGGCAGGACCTGAAGGACTTGAACAAGCATCAATAAATGTGCTGGCTTATTGGGGAACCCAGCCCCGCCCTGGCCTCTATGTGTACCCCTCACTCCGTCCTCCCATTAACAAGTAATCTCTGTCCTATGGACAGCCCTTTACCCCAGCCTTGAGTCCCTCATTCTAGACCGGGACTGTTCCTAGGATGTCACTGCCTCTCAGCCCTCCCAGGGGGGTTGGGGACCCCAAACAGTACCCTTGGGCTGCCCCTGCCCCCCAGGCTTTGATGACCGAGGGTGGTGTCCTTGAGTGGGACAGGGATATGTATCCTAGGATAGCAGCCCTCCTCTCCCTTCAGAGGCTCTGGGGGTGGGAAGGAAGATGCTAAATGTGGTGAAATAGTTAAGAGACAAGTGAAGAACAAACTCACTCATGCAGATGAGAGCGGACAGACATGACCTTGGGAGACAGAACCAGGGGTGACACTGACACTTCCCACCAGCCCTGCTCTTGCAGCAGGAGCAGGAGTGCCCAGGCCTCTGTGTCCCACTCTCAACTTCCACAGACTCTCTCAAGTATCTTAGCAAGAATGAGGATATAACTCAACTGGGATCCACTGTGAGAAAGACATGCAGATCCAGCCTTTGGGATAGACACAAAGACCCACAAAACCACCCCCACTCCACCACCAGGACCAAGACTCCCTCTGCCCCAGACAGAGCCTAAGCCACCCTTCAACTCTCAGAACAGGAGGCAGATCTTAGAGCAGCAACTGGGGTGCATTTATTTCCTCCTGGGTCTAGCAGGCTGGGGCAGAATACAAAGGCATTGGGGCATATGTGGCCTGTTAGGACCTGGAGTTCAGATGGCTGGGTGGTTAACTGAAATGGTGTGCCAGGGTGCATAGGGCCTAGGGTGATTCTCCCAGAACTTAGAGAAGGGCCCTTGGGGTGTGGAAGTGACACAACTTAGCATAGATGTGTGAGAAGGGTTGTGGAGTGGGTATGCTGAGGGTGGAGCGACCCATGGGGCAGGGTGTTAGAGTGTCCTAGAGCCAGATGTAACTTGGGGCATGGCATGTTGGGACATGTTGACCCCTAGCTGTTGTCTGAGAAGCTAGTTGCCAACAGAAAATGGAAAAGCTGGTGGGTCAGCAGGACCCACAAAGACATGACTGCAGACAGGATCAGCCCTGGGAGAGACCAAAATGTCCAAGGTGACACCTAATGTGAGGTGATGAGGAGAGAGGTCTGGGGTTCCCACTCAGGAATACATAGTCAGCTGCAGCCACTGGGGAGAGAAAGGCACAGAGAGTGAGGAGGAGAACTGGGATTAGAATACCAGGAGCCCTTCTCTGCCCTCCCCAGGGACTGTTGGGAAAATAGGAGGGAGGGAATCCAGTTCAGAGCTAAAGGGAGGGCAGGATGGGAGTTCTTACCTCCTGGATGTTCACCTGAATTTGTCCAGTGCCATCTTTATCAAGAGATTTAAAAGCACCTAGAGGAGAAGAGAAGGGTTGGGGAAGGGGGGAAGGGGTGGCTTTTAGGATAAAAATATACTAGTATATGGGATGATGATAATAGTAGCTAGTACTTGATTTAACACCTTGTGCCAAGCACTGTATAAAGTGCTTTTCATATATTAACTAATTTAATCCAATTCTGAGAGATGTGTCATTTTAAAATTTGGCACAGAGAAGTGATGTGTTCCAGGTCACGCAGTGAGAAAGTGAGGAAATTGGGATTGAAACCCAGGCTGTTACCCACCTCAATAATGGCCTCCATGTACCATCACCCTCTGCCCAAGTCCCAGCTTCCCGCTGACTTCTGAGCCCTCCAGTTCTAGCTTAAACAGACTATTGGAAAGAGACTCTGCAGACTTCACTTCGTGCCTTACCGTCTGGCATGCTTCCCACTCCTGCCCTGAAACTCCCCTTCATGTTCTCCACCCACAGCTAAACCTGGGCAAACAGGTGCCCACACTGCCTTTGCTTCCTCTCTCTCATTCTACATTGTTACCACCCTCAGATGTCCACATACTACCTGGTGTCCTAGATGCTGCACTCACAGCAGTTACTGTTGACCCTCTTCCAGTGGACATTTCTTGGGCCTTCTCACATGTGACTTTTGGCATCATCTGCCCTATTGTCCACTCCTGCCTTCCCTTCATAGCCCTGGCATACCTGTCCCTTTTCCTCTACCCATGCTCTTAATGTATGGTCCTCCCTAGTCTCTTGGGAGGCCAAGGGATCAAAGCCAACTTTGACCATCCCTCCCCTGCCTAGAACCTACTGTAGCTCTCCATTGCCCCCACTCTCTGAGCACCCCTAAAAATTGGCATTCACAGCCCTACATGCCCATTGTTCTTGCTTCCTTTCACTCAACTCTCTCAAACAGGTCGGAGTTCAAATTCTGGCTTTGGAATTAATTTCCTTGCTGAGTGGCTGTGAGCAAGCTATTTTGTCTCGTTGAACCCTAGGCTCCTTCTCCATAAAATGGGGACAATAATTCCCAATTCTCAGGGTGATCTTAAAGATTTAGTGCATTAATATTCAAAAGAACCTTTATGATCCAGTCCCTGCTGTCCCCTCCTCACAGCCTTTTGTCTCACCATCCCACCCCCTCTTCAGCATGCTGAACTGAGTCCAACAAAAAACACCAAAACTACCATCTTCTCTTTTCTTTTTGGCCTTCACACAGGCTGTTTCCACTGCAACACTCATCCCCACTCTCTCACGGGATCACTCCTCCTCACCCCTAAAGTCTCAGCTCACATGTGCCTTCCTCCAGGAAGCCCTCCTTGACCCTTCAGGCTGCCTCTTAGTTTGAAGCCCTCAGAGATTCCACAATCACAAATCTAAATGCACTCTGCCCTGAGCTTCCCCTCAGAGCCCCCATCACTCTACCCTGAACCTCCTCTAGCCCAGCAGCAACCATTGAGCTGTCACTGATGATTTGCCTTTCCTCCACTGGACTGTGAGTGATGTGAGGGCAGGATCTGGGGCTGTTTTGGTCACTGCAGTGCCCCTACCATTGCCCACCTCAGGGTTAGGCTCAAAGACCTTGGCTAATTTCTTGGATGTTGAACAAATAAAATCCACCCCTGCTCTGAAGAGAGCTGCAGTGTCACTCACGGAACATGGCATCCAGCCTGACCAGGCAGCTGATGAAGTTGTCAAAATCCATATTCCCTTCCTCATCTGAGTAGCGTCGGATGATCATGTTGTAGAGATGCTCATTTAGATGGAACCCTGACAATGATTTAGTCTCTCAGGTGTGGGGGCCATGAAGCCCAACCCACTCCCAGATTCAGACTCAGACCAGCTCAGTGGGGCTGTCTCACCAATCCTACCCCCAGCCCCACCATGTCCCCACCAGCCATACCTGCTGCCTCAAAGGCCCCTGGAAGTTCACTGCTGCCAATGGTTCCTGAATGGTCAACATCAAATTGTTTGTATATGGCCTGTGGGGACAGGGAGGTCAGGGACCAAATGAGCATCATGGGGCACAGCATCTCCATGGCTTAGAAGTCTTCATGCTAAGTTTCAGAGGTCACCACACACCTGCCATTTTTTGATGTTGTTCCACAAATACTTGAATTCCTCGAAACCCAGCTTGCCTGTTGTGTCACTCTGGCAGAAGGGTGTTAAGAATAGCTGTACTAAATGTGTGCATTGTACACCCTGTGTACATCAAAATGGTAACTGCCAAGCAGGGAAACATGGGCTAAAACCCCAGTTCCTATCTCACCCTAGTCATGTTACCTGGGATGTGGTGCTATTTCTTGTTTTATCCATACAAATTTTACTTTATGTTCTCATTTCATTTTATTTATTGATTTTAGAGAAAGAGGAAAGGAGGGAAGGAGAGAGAAACATCAATTTTGTTGTTCCACTTATTTATGCATTCCTCGGTTGCTTTATGTGCTTTAACCAGTGATTGAACCCACAACCTTGGCCTATCAGGACAATGCTCTAACCAACTGAGCTACCCGGCCAGGGCCACTTTATGTTTCTAAATGGTTAGGACTCTCTTTAAACATAACCTTGTGGAATTATAATAAACTTTTCCAAACTATAAATTTCTCACCTGAATAGTTACTAATTCCTTGTTTATTAAATCCTTGATAGTAATTTGATTTCCTAAATGTTAGAACATATAAAAAAAACAGGGGCACCTTAGAGCTCTAAGAAAATGAGGGAACAGTAGTGAATACATGATGGGTTTGTGATCAGAACAGAATGAGATATTGGCAGAAAGCTCTTACCTCCGGTGCTGGCACTTGATAAATTCTCAGTAACAACCTACCAAGACTTACCAGATTACCTAGTACACACACCAGTTTTAAGCTTCTCAGACCATAACTTTGCTCACTAAATCCTCAAGACACCAGTCCCACAAGTAATATTCCCAGTCACAGAGACAAACAGATTTAGAGCTGAAAAATCTACCTGCAGCCCTGGCTGACATTGCACAGTGGTCAGAGCATCGGCCCTCGCACCAAAGGGTTGTGGGTTCAATTCCCAGTTAAGGGCACATACCTGAGTTGCAGATTCACTTCCCATCTCCCAATAGTACAGGAGACAACCAGCTGATATGTGTCTCTCATATTGACACGTCTGTCTCTCTCCCTTCTACTCTCTCTGAAAAGCAATGAAAAAAATATCCTCTGATGTGGATAACAACAAAAAAACTACCTGCATATGATCATAGTAACACCAAACATGTACAGACCACTCTCTATGCTAAACCTTTTGCATGTAACTCTTATATAATCACATGATCACACATGAATATATGTGTGTGTCTGCACTGACCTATGTGCTGAGTGTGCATATATCCAAGATCAGCTAATGACTGGCCATGTGCAAATAGACACATGTGTTCCTGTGCATATGCCATCACATATCTTCGTGTATATGGGTGTGCCCTTGTGTGTGCATGTATATATGTGCATGTAGGCATACCTATGGATAGCCATGGTTGAATGTTTGTACAAGGGCCACCCAAGGGAAATTATAAGCTTGGGTTCTCAAGTCCAAAAGACCTGGAGTCCAAATTCCTATCCTGCCACTTACTCTT